AATATTAAATGTGACATTTTCAAGAACTGGCTCACTTCGCATGTTCCACAGGTTGACTTCAAATACCACTGGAACGTTAGGAACAGCAACCGTTGGCTTTGTACCCCAGGCAAGATACATTGCAGGTTCCTTCGGAGAGAATAACAGGCGGTACGGCCGATACCAAGCGGCATTCTGACCGGGCATCAGCGCGCAGCAGCCTCCCGTGTGGTTATCGTTGCTCCCGTTGTCACCCCAGAACGATAGTGTACTTCGCTCAGCGTTGACATAGCCTTCTGCGGATCCGCCCAACGCATCCTCGTAGATGGACGGTGTGACAGGGAAGGTGTGTCCATCCCACGTGGCGTCTCGAGGGTCCTGCGGGGCGTAGAGATACTTTTGTTCTCTCGTCGGGCTGGTAAGAAGGTCACAGAGATGAACGCCCTTTTGGGGGATAAGATAGTCTGCGAATTTTCCCATCTCAATTATCAATACGAATTTGTCACCATGTACGTCGAATTTACCACAGGAATTAATGAAATTTTTATCGTTCTCTTTAAATCCATTCTTGATGTCCTCCGTCGTCAGTTTGTGGGAGCCGTCCAGAACACCAATGACGATTTCCTCCGCGTCGGCAGCACTGATAAAAAGAAGAGAAACCATCAAGGCCAACACGACAGCGTAGGCTTGTCGGGAAGCAGGAGACAGGACCGTTGGCATTTTCCAATGCCTGCCTTTGTCTTCTGCAGAAAACCCAATTCTCCTTCACGACGCAGTCGGTTTTCTCTTGTGTTTCACTAGTAAAAGCCACTGCTGGTGTTGTGTATGACCTTTTTCTTTTTTTTCTCACGTGCAACAGGAAATAACGGCTGTCGTTAGTTTCCTGATTTATCGGCCAATATGTTGCAGTTAACACTGGAGCCTTTTTTCTTTGGAAACCCGCCAAAGACCAAAGGGAAAAGAATGCATCACATATTTACAGACGCAACAAACAAGCACACACACACGCACACAAAGGGAGGGACACATAGCACCACCCAAGAAGGGACAGCGGGAAAAACCAAAAATAAACGAGAATAATCTTCCGGGCAGCTGGCCGGACCCTGAAGTTATATCTATGGAAACCAAACAAGTTAGGAAAAAAGGTTCTTTAGTTAATTGCTTCAATGTTTTATTCTCATTCAATATATAGAATTCTGTGGACCATTAGCATGGTCCTTTGTCCTCAGTTAGGATTTGAAATATTATTACTTACGAAGTGGCAGACTTTGGGGTCCTCCAACCACAAGACCGCGCCGCGTGGTGGGAATCAAAAGGGGGTTAGGGTGGGATGGCAAAATAAAATTAAAAATATTATCTGGCCTCTATCGGCTCCCGCCCCTACAAAGTCGCGTTCTTCCCAAAAAGATTCATACGGTAGAAAGTATCATAAAGAATGCATTCATTTATCAGGATATACACATACATTAATTAAGTTAGCCAGCTCTCCCGTGATCATTCTTTTCACAAGCTCCTAATAAAAAATGTATACTTGTGTGATTTAAGGCCATAAAAGGGTTGTGCAAAACACAGGGCCAAAAATGTGCCTGTGCTGCTGGCGCTGCGTCCATGAAGAGGACTGTGAGGGAAGCAAGAAACAAAAGAAGAAAAAAACATTAAAAAAATAAAACACATTATTGAAACAAGGGTGTATTTCTTTTTGTTTTTAGTTTTAACCAAAAATACGCAATTAAATTTTATAAATTTGTCCAATTACCGGATAAATGCCACTCGTGAAGTGAGAAGAATGCGGTGAGGAGTCATATTAAATACTCGCGGGGTGGCACGTCGGCGTTCGTGTTTCGGCCTGGTTTATAAAATATAAAGACCCCTCCGCCCCCCCTTTTGCTCAGAGAGCGGTTTCCCTTTTGTTCACACCAAACAGCGTCCACTCCTGCCCGGTGGGTGAGTTCGAGAGGAAACGGGCTCGTCTTGGCTGTCAGGGCTTGCGCTCGTCCCCTCCGTCGTCCTCGCGGTGTCGAGTGTGTCGCACACAACACTGGCCAGAACGAGGCATAACACCGGGAAAAAACGCACCGCAGCAGTAAACGGAGATAAACTCCAATGACCAGCCATTTGGACGTCGCTAAAGCCACAAGAGAAAAGAGATCCGCAAGCGCAAGCCGGACGGTCACAGGCAAGATGGGCCAAATTGTGTCACTCGTTGCCCGCCCAGAGTCGCCGCAGACAGTCAAAGAGGCAAACATGAGACCTCCCCCCTCCTCCTGGCTCCCTCTAAAAACACGTCTGCAATGAAGGCATTCACATGCATTTCATTTTACATTACACACTCCTGATTGTGCGGCAGGGTGGCCAAGTATAAAGTGTCCCTTTTCACTTTTAAATGATGACGGTTCTATCACCACGCAAAAATAAGATCAAAGATACTTTCCAACGAAGGCAAAATGGTTGCATTCAAGAAAGAAAAACAGTATGAAGCAATGCAAAAGCCCCCAACAAAGAGGGGGAAAGGGGGGACAGTCAGTAACAACAACAACAAATAATAATAATAAGAGATAAATAAGAAATAATTGCAACAATAAGAAGAGCAACAAAAGAAAAAAAATAATAATAAAGTAAAAAAGGAAATTGGCACATGTACTTTGACGCGACCATTCATAAATTATTTACCAATTTTTTCTTGTTGCTGCTCTTGATCGTGTTGTTTTCATGAAGTAAATCCTATCTGTAAATCACAGTCGCAGCGATATGGGTGGCTTTCTCAAAAGCAGATCACGGACTCCATAAAGCGTGAGTGATGTGCAACGCGCGGCGCTTAGCCGTTGCAGTGAAGTACTCTCTGCAAGGCTGTTGATGTCGCAAACGAGATCGAGGTCGTCAAGTACAAGATCCGTTAATGTGGGCAGTTTCTCAAGCCCTTGCAGACCCTCTGTGGTGAGTCGCTGGCAGCCACGAAGGTTCAAGTACCGTAGGTTCGGGCAGCCATTCGCAAGGCAGGAGACGGAGTCCACACCACAGAACGCCATGTTGAGGTGACAAAGACGAGAACAGTCCCCAATGTTGTTGATGCCGGGCGTACGCAGGCGTTCCATGGACGCAATGTGAAGCACCTCCAAGCATGGACATGACCCGAAAAAACCAATGTCACTAGCCTGGCAGTTTACCATGGAAAGTACGCGCAATGTGGGGATCTCCTCAATGCCATACAGTCCCTCGTTGGTAATATTTGCACAATTATCTATATACAATTCCTCAAGCGATATAGATGTCCTCAAAAAAGCAACGCTTATGATGGGAGTATACGATAAACGAAGAATTTTAAGGGTGGAAATACGGACAACACCCTCAACACCCTCCTGTTCCAAATGCTTGCAGCGACTCAGGTCAAGCTCCACTAAACTGCAAGATCCATAAATCGCCTCCACGTTGATGACGTTAGTGTCCTGCAGTGAAAGGTACTGCAACGTCGCACAGCGGTCGAGATTACGAATAGAGCCTCGTAAAACTCGTTTGCAGTTGTTGAGGCGAAGATGACGTAAAGATGGGCTTTCAGCCAACAGACTCGTTGAATCCACGCGTGTGAACTCAAGTTCAAGAAACTCCAAATGAGGCAGAGTCTCTAATCCCATAATAGAGGCCGTGCTGATTCCATTGCATCGAGTTAACAAGAGTACACGAAGTGTTTTACACTCTGACAAAAACTTAACTTCCCGTATCCCGCTTGAGTGGGCCAGAGAGACATGTTCCAAATGAGCTTTCTCCACTCCTTGTAATGCATTTCCGGAGTATATGCGGCATGCATGTAGTATCAGTTCTCTTAGCGATAAACACTTGCCAACAAAGGAGAGAGCATCCACAGTCACCCGCTCAAGGTGCAGTACCTCAAGTGTTGGAATTTGTTCGATCCCTTGCAAAGAAGAGGCGCTGAAGGCGGAATCAAGCGCTACATGTAATTCCCGCAATGATGTTGAGACATTCAGAGCCGAGAGTTGACGGATAGAAGTTCCCTCTATCCACAATACTTCCAGCTGTGGGAGTGACTCAAGACCATAAATACCACTTGTCTCTAGTCTGGGGTTGGAAAGAAGATACAACTCCTTCATCCGTGAGGGTTGATGTGCGAGAAACGGCAAGGATTCCATTGCCGAAGGACATATGTAGAGGACCTCAAGCGAACTCAGCTGTTCCAATCCTTCCATGTCTGTTTTATCGAGTAGGTGAGACACGTTAAATGAATTCTCAGTCGGTGTTATCAACTTACTGTTTTCATTGTAAACTGCAGCGCCGGGTGGTGGGACAAAAGAACTCTCCGTGTCTGAAGGACCTCTACCCTCTTTATAATTTTTCACATTCTCAGAAGACAAAATGTTTTGCTCTCCAGTTTGAAAATGAATTTTCTGAAGACGACCGAGTACCCTCATATCTGTCTTGATGCAATCCACTTCTTCAACATACGGCGCAAGCACGTCATCGTCGTCAAACCTCTTTCGGGATTGCCCCAACAACAATGCAGGGCGTGGCAACAAACAAAGCACACGGAGCGCGGGAATTCCAGCAAGCATACATTTGATCCACCACCACATTTCTCTGGGTGGTGGCATCCGCCCCTCGTCTAATGAAAGGTACAACTCCTGTAGCTGCGGCAATTCACCTACGAGGGATGTTGCCAGCCACGCCAAATGACGCTCAGTGATATGAAGAGCCAAGCCACGCGCTCTAGAGAAGACACGAACATTATCAGGCTGTGCAGAAAGAAGATGTGAACTCTCTGTAGTATCCCTTGCCATTTCGTCTACGGCCAACGGCATGCGGTTCCTTGTGTCACTCCACCAGTTCTTATCGTGCTGTGGCCGCGAAAGCCAGTACAAAAGATCTTCGGTTGGTGGTGGGGCATCATGGGATATAAACGCATGACAGGTAGAAGACATGTCCTCCACAACTAGCACGTTGTTGTTTGTTCCCTTTAAGTAGAGGACAGCCTCCGTGTCGTGACTATCAAGTATGCCCTTGTGCCACAATTGATCAAGCAGCATCGCACAGTGGTGGTCGTGGCCAGGCGCCATGCGGTGGAGATGTCGACGTGGCACGGCAACCCCTTCACGGAACACATTGCCGTCCCCGAGAATAAGTTTGGCGACGGTGTTGTCAAGCAGTTCGGGGTAGTTTGCCGTAATTATCTTCTCTACAAGGCCAATCCAGTTGAGTTGCTCCATTCGGCGTCGAAACCAGGGAGAGACGCAGGCAAGCGCATATGGTGCGGGTCGGCAACAGTACGCCAACACCGCATTGAAGTCAATGTTGTGTTGTAGTTTTTGTTGCTGCTGCCATGCCGCCGCTGAGGTTGAGACAAAATGCATCGGTGGCAAACAACAGAGGTAACAACGGTACTCCGCAAAACGTCCCTACTTGGCAGGTATGCCCAAGATGTGACAGAAGCAGGGAAATGCGGCAATGTTTGAGATCCTTCCCACCGGTTCTCTTATTATTATTATTATTATTATTATTATTATTATTATTATTACTTTTCCTTCTTCCTTTTCCTTCCCTATTCTCTTTCTCTCTCTTCCTCCTCAAGGAATCAAAGAATTTACTCTTGTGTGGTTGCCCACATAACTGCACGCTAAAGGGAAGGAAAAAAAAATATGCAAGAGCAATTTCACCTTCGCTCTTCCTCTCCCTCTCCCTCCTTTTGAATTCCTCTTTAAACAATACTTTTATCTATCTCTCCCTCTCTATGTGTATAACTTCTCAATGTCGCCCAGCAACAAACGCTACTCACAGATGAAAAAACACTCCTACCAGCACCACTTGTACCTCACAGCAGCGTGCGTCCAAGAAAAGAGATTTAAGAAAAGAAAAAAAAAAGAGCATTAAAAAAATGGGCAAAAAAAAAACAAAAAAAAAACAGCACACACACACGCACAAGAAAAAAAAAAAAGATTGAATCCCTCTAACGAGAAGAACGTTTTGTCGTGTGCAATCATCCCCCTCAACAGGAGACCCACCGGAGCAACCCGTCAAAGAAAAAAACAACGGTCATCATCATCATCATGGCAAAATATATCGTACGATTGACTCGGAGTGGCTGTCTTTCTTTGTTTCTTTTTTTCTTTTTTTTTTCCATGGCGGGGGGCCGGCAACCCAACACCTTTTGGTTCCTGGTGATGTTTTTGACACAAGTCGCTGCGGCCGCCCCATCATTTCACCACACCGCCACCGGCCTTTTTCCGTCGTTTCCCCTCGCCCACCTCACTTTTTTTTGTTTTTTTTTTTTGCTTTTGCTTTTTGCTTCTCTTCTTCACTCTACACAAAAGAACTCAGGCCGCACCACAAAGGGGGAAACGCACAGGGGAGAAAACTCAAAAAAGCAAAAAAAAAAAGATAAAAATCACCTCTTTCGCTCCGATTTTTTTTTTTTTTTTTTTTTTCAGCTCCTTCTCCTTCACTGCCAGTGGACAACTGTGCGTGTGCACCGTCACCGCAGAGAAAGCCAAAAACGCACACGGAAACGTTTAAAATGTAAAAAAAAAAAAAAAAAAAAAAATCAAACATGCACACAAACACATGCAGAAAGAGGGGAAAAAGAAAACAGAGAAAAAAAAAAGAGCGCGACAGTAAGTTCCCTACACACTATTGCATTGAAGTCTATCGTGTCAATTACACTCACCCGTGCGAGAACGCCGGCTCAACTTCCTCTCCTCAAAGTCTTTCTTTCAACTCAGATTTTCAATTATTGTTTTGCTTATTGTGGCCTATTTACACAACCACACACAAACACACACGCAGCGAAATTCCCTCCGTCAGTGAACAAGACCGTACATCGCCGCAATGTCACCCTCTTCCTCTTCCTCTTCCTCCTCTTCCTCCTCTTCCTCTTCCCCACCGGTCTCCTCATCGTCGTCGCTAACGGTGAAGAAGCGGTGACTCAGCCACTCCGGTATCAGCGATGAGTTCTGCTCCCCAAAAAACGTCACACTGCCGGGGCCAACCACCTCCAGCCAGACAGAGCCATCCACATCAAAGCGAAGGTCAACGTTACTGCAGATATCAGTCTGCCGCGGGAGGACCACATCAAAAAGACCCGCCAACTGAACCTGCTCAAGGGGATGGGCCGCAGCGGTGGTCGTCGATTGAAGCAAATGTGACTCGCCCTTCTTATTTTTACTGTTTATACTCTTGTTTTTATTACTTTCATCATTTCCATGAGTCGCCATCAAAGCCGTCGTTGTTTCATCATGTTGGCTCCATGGAAAACACGCCACGGTGTGGCTTTCCAGCTCCCCCGACGCGCAAAGCGTTCGAAGACGCGCAAAGGTTGCGGGACAAATAGAGGTGTCTGTCTTGCTTGGCGGCGTGGCCGAGGCAAGTTTGTCCTTATGCTGCATGTACGCCTCCAGTTCGTCGGAGCTGGGAGGAGTAAAGGTGATGTGTGTGATGCGGACGGAGCTCTGCAGCTGCTGTGCGGCGCATGTCTGGAAGCCGTAAGGCTCCGCCTCGGACACCATCACTCGGAACGACGTTGCCGTCACTTCCTCCCTCTCCTCCATCGTTGATAGTTTTAAAACTTCTTCTTTTCCTTCTTTTTCTTTTTTTTTTTGTCTTGTTTTTATTTTGTCCTTTTCGTGCCACTCGCAATTCTCGACGATGGGGGGTCGCGCGGCGCCTCACAAGAAGTAATGAACTTCGGAGAGGTGCGCCTCCGTGCGTGGGTGGCCCGTGGATATATGTGCTTTTGCTGCTGTTGTTTCTCACGTGTTACCCGGAAGATCCTTCGCCACCGCCCCGACGTGAAAAGACAAAACAGGTGACAATTCCCACAATTCCGCCCAAAGAGACAACTGAATGAAAGCGCAGGTCGCCGCAGTCACGAAATCAAACACTCACACACAGACAAGAAAAAAAAGAAGGAAAAAAAAAAACTACAATCTTGGAGGACTTTTGCTGGAAAAAAAAAAAGGCAAAAAAAAAAAAAAAGAGGTTCCGGGCTGAAACAGAAGAGGAAAAACAATAAAAAAGCCATGTCAAGTCGTATGGTTACACGCACACACACAGATACACACAGGCGGGCAACCAAACAACATGCAAATTTCACTGACGCAGCTTTATTCCGCGTCACAGGCTACTGTTGTTCTTGTTTCTGTTTCTTTTTTCTCCTGATTTATACACTTCGTCTCGCCGCGGCGGGGAAAGTTGTTGTGCGGTGGTTTGCGCTGCTCCGCCTCACGCACCTCATGAACCTCAGGAACCCAATGCCGCGTGGTACGCTCAATCAGATCACTAAGTGTTGTTTTGCTACTCTTACACCTGCGGCATGCCCCCAGCATCTCCACATACATGACACCGCCTTCCAGACTCACAAATCGAATGTCTCCGCCGTCAAGCTGGAGCTGTGGTCGAATGGTCGTTGAAATAAGTTCCTTAAGGATGAGAACCACTTCCGAATCGCCTTCCTGTGGCAGTGTGTCCGGGTGAGGGTGGGGGGCATCCGGATCCACATGGGGCCTCCCGCTGAACAGATGATCCGTGAGGAGCGCACTCACGTGCAGCTTCAGTTCACTCCAGTGGGTAGAAAGAAGGAGATCACGTAGTGTCGCTTCATCCACGTGCTCGCCAGTGCCTACCTCCTCCTCTGTTTCCTTCTCCGATAGTTTTTCCCGTTTTAGTTGACTCGCATCTTCCCTATGAAGCGATGATTCCCCGTTGCTGTTCGTGACGCCCTGTTCTCCGTGATCGTTTGATGATGATGATGATGTCGGTGGTGGTTGAACTCCGTCAGCATCCCCCTCCAGCATGGCGTCCACCACTCGCTGCTGCAGTGCCGCCGAACGTCGTGCCGCTTCCTTCGGTGTGTCCGTGCGGCTGCCCATTTTATGTGCGAAGTAACGCGCTGCCGCGTCCGCGTCGGCATCATCAACACGCCGCACCGTCACAAAGTGTGGCCCAATCGTCACCTCCTCAACCATCGGCAAACCGTGCAGAATCTTCTCTGCCAGCGGCGACTGGAAACAGTTGTCGAGATCAAAGCGTAACGTGCCGGCGTGACCTGCCGGTAGAAAAGCCACGTCGTTAACGAAAAACTTATAGCACGCCTCGTTTGGGGTCTCTTGAAAGCGTATTAAAAACGCACGTCGCGGCACCCAACACGCCACGTCCCATATGCCTGTTCCCTGCGGCACATTAAGCGGTCGCTGGAATATGTGGCGGGTGGAAATTTGTGCCCATCGGTGCAAAAGCATCCACACCATGCAAATATACGCACATACAAATACACAAACACAAACACACACGCCCCCCTTACAAGGGGTGCTGAAAGGTGAAAAAGCTGCCCAAAAAAAAAAAGGAAGCAAAGGACCATTGACGGATAAAAGAAAGACACATCGATACCTATTAACGCAGCGCTGTGCATGCACACACACGCAGAAGGAGAAAACGCCTTCTTCATTACCGTACCTCAGCGTCATATTAACTCATGGCTTAACAAAAAAAAAAATCTAAGAAAAAAAAAAAGGAAACATGGTTACACGAAAAGGTGCGACCGCTGCTTCTCCTCCTCGGCGATGGCCTCACTGATCATAAGGGGCACTTCTGTGTCCATCGCCTCATTCACCGTCATTTGAACTGCGTATTTTTGTTTCAATATCTTTTTCCATTTCTGAATGTTCTCCTGAACGCGCTGTCGGTGAGCTCGGACCTCCTCTTCCTGTTGCTTCTGCATTCGATTGTACATCTCCTGCTGCTGGTAAAACTCCGAGTTCTGTCCTCCCTGCATCGTTTCCAAAGCCTCCTTCTGCAGCATCAATTGGGCCTTCTTCGCTGTGATACTCTGCAACTCCTGCAACCGTGTCTGGGCGGCTTTTGGCAGAGACTTCAGTGGAAGGTCTCCTGCGGTGGGCGGCACGGTTGATGCAATCTCCGCCGCTTCATGTTCCCTCGCAACACGGTTATACAGAGCAACGCAGCCCGCACACTCAAGTTCTGTGAGCTTCGCACGTTCCATCCCACCACGCGCAACCACCTCGTGACAGAGCATCGGATTTTTTACACCGCAGCGAGAGCATCGAAGTGTCACGCGCTCCTCGCAGAGCTGCGGTGACTCTCCGCAGCTTATCCTCTGGAAGTGGTGCACAAGCGTCTGTACAGGACCCACATCTGAAATGCCCGAAACAACACGTTGTCCACACGAAAGCTCCTGTAGTCCGACAAACTCACAGGGTAAACAGAGCTCCCCACAACGCCGTACGCACATGTGACCGCAAGGAAGAACCCGCATACAAGGAAATGGGCAGTTGCTATGCGACGGATCCTCGTCATCCTCCATGGCAAGAGCCCCACTCTCTCTACCAGAGACATGACAAATGCGGAGACATGCATGGGATGGATTTGTGCAATTCTCGTACGGCGCCAAACACAACGAGCGACATGTTTTTTCACCCATCACACGTACTTGGCAACCACCGTAATCGGAGTAGGCGATCAGTGCCAGTTGACGAAAGTTTTCATGATCCGGGCATCGTAGGGCCAAAGCCGCCCCTTTTGCCTCCGGAGGAAGCCAAAACTGTCGTTTTTCACGCATCTGAAGCACAAACCGCTCTAAGCGATGCAGTGGCTCAATAAAAGAAAACACTTCTCTGCTCCCCACCAAAATTACCCCACGACGGACATACGACACCGTCCTCCACAGCCACCACTCCAATTGTTCTACAAACGAGCGTTCTGCCCCCAGGCGTTCCCACGCCTGATGCCGCCCCAAAGATGAAAAACGACGCAATCGACGCGCAATTCCCGATAAGCACAGCACCGCCACATCACACTCCTCATCACGCTCGACAAATGCCTCTGAGTCGAACGGAATTGTACAAACGGGCCCCATGATCTCTGTTGCGTCCACATCAGACCCTGACATCATGCCTTCAAGAATCACGGCTTTGTCCTTCACAAAGCCGCAATATACCGTCACTGTCATAGAAGCTTCAATCTCCCGGAGACGGTTGCGCACAAATGCAGCCGCAACACCATCACACGCCACAGCGGCTGACAGCGCCACAGCATGCGTCCAAAACTCCACACTGCACGGTGACGAAAACCCTGCAAGTGCTGCATGTTTGCGCATTGTTTGGTCGTCACCATTATCGTTGCCAACACCACCACCATCAGCACCTTCAACAACAACAAAATTATTGGCGCCCTCCTTAATGCCTGCCACGCCAAGTGGAAGCGCTGTGGAGAAGGCCACGGAAGCGTTCCGGCACAATTGCGCCGCTTTATGAATGTCTGGATTAGTGGAACGGAAAGATTCGGATAGTACCACAGTGGAAAGAAGCGGTGTGCCTTGTAATTCCCTTTGCAGCGCCCGGAGAATGACGACGGGGAGGCGTTGTTCATGTTGAAAAGAAGATTCTGCTTGGTGCGAAACAATCGCCGAAGTCACAGATGACAATGTGAGATAAAGTGAGTCGCAAATCTGATCATAGTCATCAACCACAAGATAATGGGGTTGCCATTTACGCAAGAAAGAAATCTCCCGCAGCAATGTTCCTCCCGTCGCAGTCACAACCGTGGCCTTGGAAGTTTGCGAAGTCGCCGCCACAGCTTGTATCAGGTCTAAAAAGAGCAAAAATATATGCCGCCCTTCGTCCATAATTTCTTGCTGCAAAAATGAAAGAAGATCCCTCTGTTTCTCCCAAAACACGGCACGCCACCCTGCGGCTTCAGCTTGAGAATATTCACATAAACTACGTGATGCATTCGGTAAAGTGACCGCATGAAACGCACTACCTGCAGGCCCCATACTTTTCCATACAGTCTTTTGAGGGGTATAATCAAAATCAGTGCTCCTCACCAATGTTGACGCGTCCCATAAATCTTCAGAGAGATAGGCCTCCCATGTTTTACCTTTACGCAGTGCTTCCGTGAATGTGTCCATTCGTTCCTTTTTAGACATAATCCATGGCAAAAATTCAATAAACAGCTTCCACTCTCCCTCTTCAGGCACAACAATTTCCTCCAATGAAAGAGCGATGGTATCAAGAAGATCGCCAAGGCGTTTCAGCCTTTTTAAACGTGCATTCAAAACGGCCGCAAGGGGCGCATTTAGCGATCGTTGGTGACTTTGCTTCATTAAAGTCTCAATGGAGCAAAAGTGCTGTGCAATATTCTCTTCTTGAAGCACTCTTGCAGAATGGAAAGGAATTGTCTGCTTGAATGCTCTTGGTCGAAGCAACATCGGCGTATGGCAATGCCTCAGCTTCTCACTCAGATGTACATGTTCTTGAATATGCCCCAGGGCCGCGTTGGTGACCTCCTCTGGGAGGTCCCGAGCAGATGACCCGTCGGATGCCTTGAAAAGATCTTCCATTTCTTCCGCCGCAGCCAACTCTCCAAGGCGCGTATAAAGGGTTTGTGCGCTGTGCTTGATCGTGGCGTGCCAAAGGGGCTGGTGGTGTTTACGCAATGCCTCTTGCATTCGGCCTCGTGAAAGGCTGCTGGCATGCATAAGCGTCGTTTTCCCACATCCGACAGCCCCCACAAGTGTGCGCAATCCGGGCCCTGCCGTCGTCAACGTGTGGAGGCACTCGACCTGTGAAGCAGTAAGAAGGGTAGCCGCCGCAATCTCGGAGAGGCAGCGCTGCAGCATTTCGTTCTCCCCCGTCAAGGAGCTAGTTTGCGTAAACATATCCCCTGCAACACCGCTGCTGTCGCTTCCCCACCATAGAACGCCCCCCTTATTTGCCAAATCACCTTTGCCCTGACCACCCTTGGCACGTCCCACGGCAGTCAAACTATTCAGTTCTTCTTGCCGCATTTGGGCACGCAGCTTCTGAAGGTGTAGAATATAGAGAAAGTATGAAACGGCCGACGTGCCCATAGGCAGAAAACGCGGCGTTTTGCTGCCCAAATGATCAACAGGAAGAGCATCATCATCATCATCATCATCGCCACTCTCCTTCTCTACGTGACAGGAATCAAAAAAAAGCCACGCCTCCGGAATTCCCTGATGTTCACTAGATGATGCAGCACTTGCCGCCACAAGTGACGGCAATATGTCTCGATCGCGGAGAACGTAGGCGATGGAGATAATTGCCGACTCCTTCTCCGTTTTATTCACAACACCGCACAAAACGACAGGAAAAACAAATGTCTTGCCATTCAGCATCACCAAAATAAAGCCAAAACAAGAGTGTGTCTCCAGAAGATAACGACTAGAGACACTCATTTCACTTGTCACACGCAAAGTAACAAATAAAGGCAATCCGAACAGGGCATGAAGTCGAACTTCTTCCAACGAATACTCTGAAAGTTCAAACCGAAGAGATGACTGAGACACTTGCGTGACATGCAACGGCTTCATCATGCTCCCTTGATCTCCGTCGCCTGCCCTCGTTTTGTCGACGGATTCCATGTAACTGGATACGGCGCACGCCACTGGACCGTACAACTCTGCATAAGCCGCCAGCATTGCACACTCCACAAAGCGTAACGTCTCTTGTCGAAGGTACGGTGTATACGTCTGGTTCATTGCCATCATCATTTCCCTCAGAGATGACAATTTCAAACCGTGAAGGTCCTTTATATCCTTTAGAGTCGGTGGACGATGAACCTTGTCAACGAGACTCACCGTCTCTGCTAATCGTTCTTTATGCCGCATCCATTGTGCTGCTCGGCGAAAGACACCAATACGGGCCATTTCCTCCACCAGTTTCATGACCGCCTGTATGCCCGGTTGTGGCGCCCTCTTCTCATGTGTCAACCATAACGCAGAGATGCGGTGAAGAACCGTGAGGAATCCACGCTCGGCATGTTCCCTCGCCTCTCTCTGAACTTTTCCCTCTTCCTCCACAACTTCCCGGCAAACGTAGCGCAAAGCAAACTTCATTGCTTCTAGCATAGCTTGCTGCGCACTTGCCCAAGTCGATTCCGAGACATTCCCGGCAAGCTGCGGCAAAACTGAAGAAAGACCTTCCACAAATAGTGGAGACCCCAGGAATTGGTAGACCACTCCCTCCACTGTGCTGGAAAGCGTAATGATGGCCTCCGCATTGCCCAAAATGGCCACATAGAGACGAAGCATGGAGAAAACAAGTTTTTTCACTTGTTGGATCTTGCGCAACTCCACACCATCCAAGTTCTTCAGTTGCTGAATAAAAACAGGCAACTGCAGCGACCGCAACCATGCATCCGCGACGGTGACAGATGCCCCGACGTCTCCCCAAAAAGAATCCATAATGCACGTCAGTTGAGCGAGGCCAGGAGGGACAGAAAGAAGCTGGTGCATCCAATTCGCCATCGTCACAGCGTTCCAAGAGACGGCATGAGACCAGTCAGCTTCATCCGTTAATGCAGAGGAATCCAATGCGACAAATTCCACCATCGCTGGCACAAAAGTATTTCCATTCCCTTCCTGAGCATCTGATGTAAATCGCTGAAAAAGCACCAAGTCTCCTATGCACACACGTTTTCCATCCGCGGTAGAGATATTCACAGGTTTAATGGCATCTGAGGTAAACAGGAGTGTCTTGCCATCGTTTGCCAAAAGCTGAATAACACCCATTTCCACAGGGCCGTCCGGTCTGACTCCATCGGCTCGCAAAGTCAAAAAGCGACATGTCTTTTCGCGAAATGATGGGGAATTAAGCAGTGCATCTGTGTCTTTCCAAGGAACGGTGGGTCCCACACTCTGTTTGTCGTATTCTGCCGCCGCGGAGCGCGACATACCATGAGTAATTTCTATTATCGCCGCATGCGAAGACGACGACGCTGAAAATTGGGGCGTCCTCAAGTTGTCGTTTTCGCCGCCCTCGTCACGAGAACGCTTTGCGCCAAAAGAGACGAAAGATGCCGGCATTTCAGTGCCACCTGCTGCACCAAGTCGCAAGCGTTCTAATGGCACACCACCCTTTTCCTTTTCCTTTCGGCTCCTTTCGTTCGGTCCCCAGCAAAAATAGAGAGAGAAACGGCAGTGAAAAAAATAACGAGGAGAAAACAATCGAGACCAGAAATTCATAATGACTGCATGCGAGAGATGAGACGTCCCTTTGAGTCTGTTTTACTCCCCGCCCCTTCCAACAGCCCTCAAAATTAATGAAGCCACGGTGGTTGGGGTACGGCTGCAGGAAAATACATACAGAGAGAGGAATAAAAAAAACAACAACAACAAAAAAAAAACAGAAAAATGGGGAGTAGGAAAAAAGCAGCCATCTGTTTTCAGTCGCTATGAGAATCGACATCCCACTCATCAAGATCCTCAAGGTTAAAGCTCTCCTTGAAAGCTTTTACACCACATACCTCCTCAATATACAGAGGATCGTTTACGCAGCGTAACACAAAGGATTGCCGTTCTCTTCGGTACGCTCCCACCACAGAGTCAGAACACGCCGTACACGATTCATAGCGGTAGCCGTAAAGCGTATAAATGTAGTGTGTTAAAACGCTCCCTCGAATCTGATGTGGAATTTTTCCAAGAACGCACACTGCTCCATTTGTGTCGGTAGGATTTGTAGCTTTGGAGTCCCCAGGTTGCTGCAAGTGTACTTCTTGCATTTCCGTTTCCGTATACGGAGGGCACGCAAATCCTAGGGGGTGGTTGTACAACTGCGCTAACAACTCCACTGCCGTCGCTGAGGCAATTGCAGAAAGCCCAGGACGCGTGACGGTACACTGCTGATCAAGCGAGCGTGCAGTCATGCTGTCCCGTGGAGCCACAACGTCGCTGCAAAAGTAACACCCCAACCGGGAACCTCCACTGCCCTCTTTTGGTTCAAGGCCATGACGCATGACAACATAGGTGTCAAACCCCAACGCTGCGTTAATGAGGGGTTTATTATGTGTAGTAGCCATCAGCGTTGGTAACCACCGAGACTCTCGGCTATCCGTCAAAAGAAAAACAACGTCGTGTTCTTGAATAAGTGTATCAAGTCGTTCAACCTCAGCAATGACCTCTGGTTCACGCTGCTTGTCTATGCGATGTCCCGGCATATGTATTGTCAACGGCACGCCATGCGCCTCCACGGTGGGAAGGATGCGCTTGAGAGCCTTGGCAGCGGCAACGGCCTTATTGCGCTCCTCCAGTCGAGGGTTAATGACGTCAGACATCTCAAAAAGTGTTTGTCGCACAGGATTAGAGAAGGAGACGTTGCCACGATCCACAAGTGTTATTTTGGTGACACCCCACATCAAAAGATGACGCGCCACATTGCAGCCAAGAGTTCCACTCCCAAGAACTAGAGCCCTACAGGAGGCCAATCCATCAAGAGAGAGTTCGGGCAACATGCGCCACTTCATCAAGCTAAGATTTAGTCGAGCGCTGGACTCTGCCAAACGTTCTGGATCCATCATGGCACCAAGATCAATGCAACTCACAGGGGAATCGGCACTTTTCCGCTCGGTCCATCCAACAGCTCTTGCAAAGGCGTTTTGTTTCCCTTCAGTTCCTTCTGTCATCACGTCTTCAAATGTATAGCTCAGTGGGTCGCAAGTGCATTCAAATACAACACTCCTTTCTACTTCGTTGTGGCGGATACAGTACAATGCAAATGCCGTTATAGACGGTCGGGCGAGACGAAGTGCGCCAATCACGTTGCGTGCCGGCCATCCGGGGAAATCCTCCATAGTAGAGACGTCTGCCATGACAACAAGAAACGACAGCTCCTTCATTTTATTGATGGTAGAGAATGTAAAAGGATAAAAAATCACCTCTTCATTTTCCCCATGGCCTGACGCCTGGCAAGTGACAATAAAGGGATTTGGACCACGCTCTGGGTGACGCCGCAGTTGGTCCAGCAAATGTGCATGTATTCGGTCCACAGCTTTGCGGCTAGAAAAATACGAGACACCGTGATCCGTTGCAAGGGCGGCGTAACCACCATTCACACGATGCTTGACGTCAACAGGCGATCCAAGATCCAAAACAGGAAACGCCATCATGTAGTGGAATCGATGACTTTTCAGATCAGCGTAAGTGAAAAGAGCGGCGAGAGCAAAATTGATGCCTTCCCAGACCTTATCGACTAGGATTTCAGCCGCCTTCCTATCCTCGTTGACATCGATGGTTTTACTTCCCTTGCCAGAAAAAAGTGGAATGAGCAACTTTTCTTTCAACACACGCCAAATTGCCTCCCGTCGTGGCAGCTTACAGAGCTGCTCAAGGGTATTAAAGTTTTGCAGTTCCCCACTCAAAAGCACAGGAATCGGAAAAGGCGCATTCGTGTCAGTAGCAGCAGCAACACCCACCAGTGGATTCTGCGGCAGTCCCGCGACAATCGCATCGGTGTCGTTCCCCAGACTTTCTCGCCTCGCAGAGACGATATTCGCAGGAGTGGCGGTGTACGCAGAATTTACCGTCCCAAAGAGCGTCAAAGGCACCACCGGCTCCTGCAGACGCCATTCGTGAAGTTTCCGCCGCTCAAGCTCGTACCAAAAGCTGACTTCAATGTGCGGAGAGTATTCCTTAAATTTGAGTCGACTCCCCGCTGGTGTAGTGGCCGTCGATGTCATCGCGCCAAAAGGAATTGGTATTCACGACAGCTACACAGAGAGAGAGAGAGAGGGAAAATGGTGAAGTGAAGAGGTCTCGCTCTTGCAGTCCCCTTGTAATTACCCGTTTCTTTTCTTTTCCCTACCCCCTTCCGCCTAATAAACTGTAATTTGCCGATGCCTCGATTTCTCTGGCAAGCTGTGACCCCATCCACGTTGCAGGAGGGTGGGAAAAGACAAAAAAAAAAAAGGAGAGAGAGGGCAATAAAATGGTGTCTGGTAAGTGTATCGGCCATTCAGAGCAACACACACGCACACGCATAAATAACGCCTCTTATTCATCGATGTCAAATCTTTCTCTCCAAAAAAAAAAAGCAAACTAAAAGAAAAAGTGCTCTTTTATTCTGCTTGTGTGTGTGTGTGTGTGTTTACCCCTTCACGCAAAGAATTTGTTTAAGCGCACACACAACCTCCACAAGGTCTCCCTGAGCCCGCATTACATCATCAATCTTTTTGTATGCCAGCGGGGTCTCGTCAAGCACGTCAGTATCCTTGCGACACTCCACATCAGCCGTAGCCGCCTCGTGATCCTCAAGTGTAAATCGCCGTTTCGTCTCTCCACGACTGTATAGCCTGCCGGCACCATGTGAACAGGAAGAGTAACTGAGCGGACTGCCCTTCCCACGCACAATATAGCTTTTCGTGCCCATGCTGCCTGGAATCACTGCCATTTCTCCGCCGCGTGCGGATGTGGCCCCTTTTCTTGTCAGCCAAACAGAATTCTGCGGGCTCAACTCCACACGTTCAATGTAATTGTGATGGCAGTTTATGGCTGTCGCATCAACACCAAAGGGCTGCGGCAGATAACTTCGCATGGCCTGCAATACATTCTGCAGCATGATTTCTCGGTTCCATTTGGCGTACCGCTGAGCCCAGTCAACAGCTTTCACGTATTGGTCAAAATGAGGGGAGCCTTCTCGCAGGTACGCAAGCTCAGCACTGGGCAATTGAGTGATATGATTGCCCATGTCCTTCTTGGCCAGCTCAATAAAGACGGTGCCAATGCGGTTCCCCACTCCCCTAGATCCGGAGTGTAGCATCACCCACACATGCGGGCGTTGGGCATCATTCTTAATATCATCATCAATGCAAATTTCAATAAAATGATTTCCACCTCCCAGTGTCCCGAGGTGGGAAATATGATTGCTAGCTTCAATCGACTTCTGCATCGCGCATATTTCCTCAAACCCCTTCCGGAGGTGTAAATTCCAAATATCAACAACATTTTTTGGTAACTCGCCCCGCCAACTTCCAGCATCCAGGCCGCTCCTGCCGTTGTGTGTACGTCCGTGAGGAACGGCAATTTCAATGGCCAACCGTAACCCCACAAGCGATCCCGGAAGGTCCTCCGGGGTAAGAGTGGTCTTCACCGCGATCATGCCACAGCCGATGTCTACCCCAACACTCGCCGGAATCAGCGCGCGCGTTGTCGGGATCACAGTTCCTACGGTGGCGCCATGGCCCGTGTGTACATCCGGCATGACGGCAATGGGGTGCCGAATGATTTCACCCATACGTGAGAGTTGAATTAACTGCTCATGCGCTGAGCGCTCCACCTCGACGCCTTTGATCCACGCGCGCACCTCGACGTTACTTCCCTCACCACGAAGAACATCGTACGGCAGCAAGCCTTGGCCAGAAGCATCCGCGCACCCACATCTTTGCTTCACAGTGGCAGCCGCAACAATAAAAAGCCGCTCACGCGCAAGACGGCGCATGATTTGCGCGTGTGTGTGTGTGTGTGCGTTAAGCAAACCACAAGCACAATAAGTCTCTTACGGAGCCTACGCACCTAAATATATATATATATATATTCATCAGAAATCCGTCGCCACACATGAAAACGCCAAAAAAAGAAAAGCAAAGATATTCAGCAAAGATAAAAGTAAAAAAAAAAAAAAAAAAGCAGGGAGGATGAAGATGACTCGTTGAGGCTTTGACTCTACACTCGCACATGATGCAGACCCATCATTGACAATAAGCATGCAAATTAGAACTGTACATGCACATGTCGTTACCCGACCAAAGCGAGTTGCTGACTTAGATTACAAGTGATCGTCACAATAAATAAATAAATAAATAAAATAACTAAAAGAAAATAAGATCATATAATACTCGGGAATTACAAGCAGCATCACCAGCACCAAAAATCACTATTCCCACAGCGTACTTTCAATTTTAATCCTCTTCCATCAGGTATAGGGGAACAAGCACTAGCACTCCAACGCAAAATTAACCTCCGCCGGCCTCTCACCTTTCTTCCGGAGTGAAGCCAGATGATCATCCAACAGCTCTTTCCGCTTGATCAAATACGCCCTGCGGGTGCATTCAGGACAGCCTGGTTTGCCCCCTAGAAGATGTCGGTTAGGGCAGCACCGCGTACAGAATTGTCCACCGCACCAGTTACAGTTTGTACTTGGCGTAAAGTAATAAAAGTACGGCTCCCCACAGTTGGCGCAAAACCGATCATCCTGCGGCCGGTTTTCCTCCGACGCAGGCGTGTACTCAATCGGCTCCACCTTCTCCTTTACATCTTCGGGCACCTCTTCATGTGTAGCGTTGAAACTCAATAACTGCCCCATCCCTCAATTTGGCTTATTCTCTTCCCTACTTCTCTTCACGATTAGCAAACACACACACAAAAAATAATAATAATAATAATAATAATAATAATAATAATAATAAACAAAACAAAAACAAGGACAGCACATACGCACATACCATTCCTCTCATGTAAACACAGACATTTATATATATATATATATACATGTGAACATGAAGGAAACACAATGCAGCCAAGTCACCGCCAATGAAACCAGTTCACACGGCAATGCCGAGCGACGTTTATGTCGCACTCCGTCGTGCCCGCCGCGATCATTCTACCGCCGCCCCCTCACTTTCGCTCACGTTCAAAAAAATACTAGCCTTTCCCCCCTCTCGTCAAACAGTACACTGAATGCAAACAAATGGCGATGCGGAGAACGGCGCAGCGTCAATTGGTTCTTACAGTCCGCTATGCCCCTAAGCTCCCAGTACTAAAGGCATCCCACCGCTGTCAAACACATTCAATCCCCCATTTTTTTATCCCCCTCTCTCTCTCTCTCCCTTCTTTTTCTTCCCCTCCTTGCAAAGCGAAGGCCCGCTGCTGCGCCTCGGCGCCTTTTCATCCATTCAAAAAAAAAAAAGAATTCATCACTAAAACACTGAAAAAAAGAAAAAAAAGCCCAAAACAAAACAAAACAAAAAAATGAAAAATTGTAAATGGTACCGCGAAGAGTAAAAAAAAAAAAGAAAAATCAAATAAAAAAAAATCAAATTTTTTCTTCTTTTTTGCTTCTTTTTTTTCCTTCTTACACTTTGGCGTTCAGATAAGAGCAAACCAAAATAAAATCGTGTTTTGTTG